TGCTGCACATTCAACTCATGTGGGGATTTGCAAAACTTACTGATGTCTGGCAGATTCTGATTTAATTAGTATTGGGTACAGTCTGTAGGGATTAGGAAATGCCAACTCTCTAATGAAGGTATTTCTAAGGTGCAGCAAGGTTTGGAAACCACTCTTTTAGGATGAGACCTGACCAATAACTTTTATGGGAGCAGAAGTGAAACCTAATCTTCTAACCAAATTATGAAACAAATGAGATATTACCTTTCAAGCCTGTTTTCCCTACATTGGCTGGAAGACTCATTTTATGAATGGGATGTCATTTCAAGAATTTTAACCTGGCTTTCTATGTAGGATGCATGCTAACCCCTTTGCAAGGAATTCTGTGGTGCAAATGATAGTCACGCAAGATCTTTCCACAGCAAAGTACCTTGAGTCACACGTAGCAATGGCCATATAACAATGTCTGTGATTGTACACATGCATAACAGAAGGCCCATACATTTAGAAAGGAGTTGAACAAGCATAGTCACTGCAAACATCAGAAGTCCACAGTAATGTATTTCATCTGTATGATACTGGGGAAAACAAACCCATCTGTCATATAAATGTATCACATATTCAATTATATACAGTGCTTAATATGTGATAATAATAAATGACCATGTTTTAGTTTATGTATTTACTATACTACACTATGATGATTTGAATAGCTTTTGTCCCTGTAGATCCATGTGTTTGAATGCTTGGACATAGGGAGTGACACTATTAGGAGGTGTGGCTTTACAGGAGGAAGTATGGCCTTGTTGGATGAAGTGTGTCACTATGTAGATAGGCTTTAAGGTCTCCTATGTTCAGGCTCCGCCCAGCGTGGAAGAAACACTTCTCTTGACTGCCTTGGGGACACAGTCCCCTTCTGCTGCCTGTGGATCAAAATGTAGAACTCTTGGCTCCCCCAGCACCATGTCTGCCTGAGTGCTGCCATGCTGCCTACCATGATGACTATATACTGAACCTCTGAAACTGTAAGCCAGCCCCAGTTAAATGTTGTACTTTATAAGAGATGCCTTGGACATGTCTCTTCACGGCACACTAAGGCATATACTTTCTATAAGTATTTTGGAGTATACTTCTATTTATTAAATAGACACGGATGACAATTTGTTGGAGAGCTGGTTACACACACACACACACACACACACACACACACACACACACAAAGAACCAACAACTAGTGAGCTGGAGAGATGACTCAGTAATTAAGAACACTGGCCGTTGGTCTAGAGGTCCTGAGTTCAATTCCCAGCAACCTCATGGTGGCTCATGATCATCTATAAAGGCATCTGACGCCCTCCTCTGGCATGCAGTTGTACATGCAGAGCACTGTTACATTTTAAAACATCATAACTATTGTTCAGGATTGGGTGTGGTTTGGCAGATGCACTGGCCTACTATGTGCAAAGCTTATTTCTTGTTTCACCAGCACTGAGAATTGAACTGTTTGGAAGTTACTGAAAAACAGGCATGCTTTAGACTGACCTCTCTCTTCCTGAGATAGAGTTTCGTTACATAGCTCAGGTGGACCTAGACCTTGTAAACCTCCTGCTTTGGTTTCCTGAGTGCTGGTACCATAGGCATGTTCTAAACCATTGACTTTCCCTGTTAACGTCAAGAAAGCACATCACACAATTGCCCTGGGTGATGTAAGTTGTGTAACTGTACTCTATGGTGTCCATAAAGGCACAAATACCACAGTTCTCAGAAGTGTTTACATTGCTAAACAGCTCATGACTATAGAGTAAAGAAAAGTTGAAAACTACACACCGTCTTAGAAGCCATGCTTCATTCCTGGGTGGAGATCCCACCAACAGGGAGATCTCAGCACCAGATGGACACGAAAAGGCGACAATGTCAACCTCCAGCCCAGCTCGAAAGAAGACAAAGCACAGTGTGGGCGTTGCAAATTTAAATGCAGTGATAAGGGACAGCAACCTTTCCTGCAAATTGCTAAATGTACATGGATCCTGGAACTGTTTGTCCTCTAACATTTAAAAGCTTACTTACCCTCAAGAGATCTTAGCCCTGAGCTAACACAGAGCAAAAAGAGCGTCACTTCAGTGCCAAAAGCTCACAGATCTGAATTTGCCAAGACACAAGCACTGGGGGAGGATGTGGGCCCTCTCCCAGCTGCTTGGGAAATCTGAGCACTGGAAGAAGATACGACTGTCAGAGAAGATACCTGATGAGTTCCAGAACTTCATTTCAGGGAACTATTTCACAAGACTGACTGATTTATCAAAAGCAGCCACATACAGCCAGCAGCCCACAGTTTATCGTGGGTGGCTGATGGGATTCATCTGCAGTGAAGCAATGGTCTCAGCACACTGCCAGGTAGTGGGGTTAAGAACAATCAGTAAAGAATGCCTGGAACAAAGAAATGAACACAGCTACTAACAGAACAGCCTAAAGCTTTATCAACAAGGCAGGAAAGGGGGACTTTAGATGGTCTGTGACATGTACATCATACCCGCATACTTCCTCATTTTCATAGTGTGAAAAAGATTTGGAAAGAAAAATACACTATCTTTTAGAAGTAAACCAACCTTTCTCTAATATTTCCCATAGCTGTTTCTGTGACTTCTTGCTTGCTGCATTGATCATACTAAGGAACCTTAAGGGCTCTGAAGTGATATACTCAAATATTTTCTAGTTGAGGAAATAAATAGGACACACATAGGATTTGTTTGAAGAATGTAAATAAGCCTGTCCATGACCTTGATAAAATATTAAAAAAACACTTTAAGTCCATCGAGTACAGCTCTTCCCTTAAAGAAAACACAATCCACAGAATTGATATTTACACAGTGAGCAGATACCTTAGCCAAGGATTCATTGCTCTATGGGCCTCTCCAACAGAGCTAGTTTGCATACTACATTCCCTAGTATATTGTAAATGCTTGAGAGCTGGAAGTCCAGCACAGTGACCGAGTGCTTGTCTGGGATGTGAGGGACCCTGGGCTTCATCTTCAATATACCAAGAAATGAGGAAAGGGAGGTGAAGGAAGGAAAGGGGGAAGGAAAAGAAGGAAGGAAGGCTTGTTGGAATTGCAGAAATAATATCAAACTATAAATTTTTAATGAAGAAATGTTGATTTAATCAAGGGATACCTATATTGTTTTGGTGAAGGAAGCAATTAAACTTCGAAGGTATCAAATACCCCCACATACTTACTTGGAGTGTAGACCAAAGACTACTTAATGTAAGCTAATTGATAAATGTCATATATATATATATATATATATATATATATATATATATATATCTTGTAAGAAGCTTTGATCTCTCAGTGATCCAAGAGGTTATAGATTCTCATTTAATTGAATTAACCTGCATTTAATATTAGTGAGGCATATTTTTAAAGTTCTTTCTTGAAACTTAACTTTAAGTCCTAGCATGGCCCAGTCACTATGACAATTACTGGGGAAAAAGAACTGTAGTGAGCAAAATAGATAAAGCTCTTCTCTGGGTTCAAAGGACTTACAGTTTAGTGCTGAAGGCAGATGCTAATTACCACCAACAATTCATGTCCTGAAGGGCAAGCATAGGGTGCTATGAATTGCATATGGGAAGTAAGCCCTAGGCTCAAAACCTAGAAAAGGGTCCGAGAGGGAGTCATATTTGAACTGAAAGATAGTCTTAATAAGAACAACTGCTACTTATTGATGTTATGCTAAAAGTGCTTGCTCGTTTAAGTTCACAGCTGCCTGTTAGGTTGGATGCTTTGATTATCCCCAGGGAAATGGATGTTTAGAAAGGCTAGCACTTGTAATGCAGCATGCATTTCAGTATCAATGCTAGATCCAGGACATCTCTTTCTTTATTATGTTTCACTTCTTTCTATATTATAACATCTACATTATACCATCTCTTTCTATAATATTATTATATTATATTATATTATATTATATTATATTATATTATATTATATTATATTATATTATATTATATTATATTATATTATTATCCATTGGTCATCTGGCCTCTTCAGTGGAAAGGATGAGGTAAATTAATTAAATAGGAGAGAAGGATAAGTCCAGTTAAGGTAGAAAAATGGTCAGGTGGCTAATATTGCATGTTACTGGTGTGTGTGTACACACACATGCACACGCGGGTGCACATGCATGCACAGGCCCTCGGCTAATCCAAGGGACATGGAGCAAGTGTCGCTTGCTGGAGATATTCCAACAGCAGAATCTAGTTTCTACGAAAGATGCTCTCTTCACATAAAATATTTGCCAACACTGCCACCTAGTGCCAATAGGCAGGAAGTGGTTATGAACTGAGTTACAAAATAGTACTAGCTGCTTGCCTGGTAGAGCTGACTTCAACTTCCTTGTCTAATGCCTGTATTTCCTAATAGTGTTCCCTATAAAGAAAATACATGATACAGATCTTAAAAGAACAATACTCAACTTCATATTGAAAAAGCAAAAAACTTAGGATTACTAAAACAATCCTGTCCAATAAAAAAAAATTTCAGAAGTATCACCATCCCTGATTTCAAGTTGTACTCCAGAGCTATAGTAATAAAAACTGAATAAGAACATACAGGTTGATTGATGGACTCACAAAAATCCAGAAGTAAATTCACACACCTATGGACACCTGAGTTTTGACCAAAAAGCCAAAATTATACAATGGGAAAGAAGCATCTTCAACAAATGGTGCTGGTCTAACTGGATATCTACATGTAGAAGAATGCAAATAGATCCACATCCATCACCTTGAACAAAACTCAAGTCCATGTGGATCAAAGACCTCAACATAAAATTAGATACACTAAACCTGATAGAAGAGAAAGTGGGAAATAGTTTTGAACGCTTTGGCACAGAATTCAGGAGACAACTTCCTGAACAGAATACCAAATCACGCAGGGACAAAGATTTACAATTAATAAATGGGACCTCATGAAACTTGAAAGCTTCTGTAAGGCAAAGGACATGACAAAAGAACAAACAGACCTGCCCCTAGAGGTGTTACAGGTGTGACTGCTGCGTGATGAGTGTCAGGAGGTGGCAGAATGGAGAGAGGGCATATCTTTGCTCAGTGTTCTGACCTAGGAACATCTGGTTAGTTGCTTAACTTTCCTTGAAAAAAGGGGGAGGGGGAGCCTGAGACCACCATCAGTCAGGCACCAGGCAGGCCTAGACAGACTCTCACGTTGATGTATGAGAGCTGTGCAGAACTGGTCCCACACCTCGCCTGAGCATCATGGGAGAGCTGGCCCTAGAGGCAAGAGAGGCTAGCCCCACCCCTCTGGCACCAATCAGCCTTGTTGGAGTATGTGTGGCCTTGTTGGAAGAAGTGTGTCATTGTGGAGGCAGGTTTTGAGGTTACATAAGCTCAAGCTACTCACAGTCACGCAGTCTCCTTCTGCTACCTGTAGATCAAGATGTAGACCTCTTGGATCTTCCAGCACCATGTCTGCCTGCATGACGCCATGCCTCCTGCCACGACAAGAATGGACTAAACCTCTGAAACTGTAAGACAGACTCAATTAAATATTTTCTTTTATAAGAGTTGCCTTGGTCATGGTGTCTCTTCACAGAATGAAACCCTAACTAAGACAGTAAGATAACCCAACCCAAACCTAGAAAGACAAACATGGTATGTACTCATTTATAAGTGGATATTAGCCATAAAGTAAAGGATAACCATGCTATAATCCACAGACCGAGAAAAGCTAGATGACAAGGAGGGATTAAGGAAGGATGCATAAATCTAAATGTGAAGGGGAAAGTGAACAGACATTGAGGGTGGATGGGGAAGGGGCCTGGATGGGGGGCAGTGGAAACAGGAGGGATCAAGTTGGGGGAGGACAGAGAGAGAGAGAGAGAGAGAGAGAGAGAGAGAGAGAGAGAACTGGGGGAGCCAACTGGAATGGGGGGATCATCTCTTCGATGAGCTAGAACCCCAGTGCAATGGAAACTCCTAGGAATCAACAAGGGTGACCCCAGCTAAGACCCCTAGCAATGGGGGATATGGAGCCTAAACCAGCTATCCCCTGTAACCAGACAAGATTCCCACTAGAGGGACTGGGACCCCAACCCAACCACAAAACTTTCGACTTACAATTTATCCTGCCTATAAGATGTGTTGGGGTAAAGGTAGCTCATAAATTGTGGCAGTGGCCGACCAATGACTGGTTCAGCTTGAGATCCATGCCATAAGAGGGAGCCTACCCCTGACATTGCCTGGAGGGCCAGGAGCCAGAGGCTAGAGAGCCCAAAGACTTAGGATAGAATCAAACATGACTGGCAAAAAGTCAGTGAAGTGATTCTTAATGGTACTCTGCTATACTCATAGACTGATGCATAGCCCAGTTGTCATCAGAGAGGCTTCATCCAGGAGCTGATGGATACGAAACCTAAACCAGCTATCTCCTGTGACCAGGCAAGACTTCCACTAGAGGGACTGGGACACCAACCCAACCACAAAACCTTTGACCTACAGTTTATCCTGCCTATAAATGTGCTGAGACCCACAGCCAAACATTAGGTGGAACTTGGGGAATCCTGCAGAAGATGCAGGGGTAGGGGAGATTGTAGGAGCCAGAGGGGTGAAGGACACCATAAACAATACCACAGAATCAACTAACCTGAGCCCATAGTGACTAAGAGACTGAAGTGTCAACTAGGGGGCCTGCAAAGGACTGACCTAGGCCCTCTGCACATGTTACAGTTGTATAGCTTGGTCTTCATGTGGGGTTCCTAACAGTGAGAGGAGGGGCTGTCTCTGATTGTGCTGTCTGCGTTTGATGCCTCTTTCCATACAGGGTTGCCTTATCTAGCCTTAATAGGAGAGGAGGTGCCTAGTCCTACTGCAACTTGATATGCCATGGCTGGCTGACGTCCATGGAACGCCTGCCCTTTTAAGAAGAGAAACAAAGGAGGAGTGGAGGGGAGGGAGAGGGATTTGGGAAGGGGATTGGGAGGAGAGGAGGGAGGGGAAACTGCAGTAGGGATGTAACACACACACACACACAGAGAGAGAGAGAGAGAGAGAGAGAGAGAGAGAGAGAGGGAATTCAGATGGCCTAGTTCTCTCTCTCTCTCTCTCTCCCTCTCTCGTCAATTCAAGACCTCGGAGAACCCTTGAGACTTGAGACACTGCACTTTGACTTGGATCAAACAGATTGAAGTTAAGGGGAGGATCGGTATAAGTAGGTAACATGTTTTATGAATGGTGATTCTGTGTTTTATGAATGAGGACTCTGGGTCACACTAGACCGTGAGCCTTAGTGAAAACTAAAGGAATATGGAACGGATACTGGGAAGCGGGTTTACACAGAAATACAATCTTGTAAGTAGAAACTAATAGAATAAATCTTGTGAATTAAAAAATGATAAGTTTTGGTTTTCATACACATGAACAAACTAAAAGTTATGTTCTCAGCAAGTAAAAGGCCTAATGGATGTAAACATGGCAGTCTTCATTCTAGCATGCGTAGATCCTAAGATTATCTAGGGGCGGGGAGGAGTGGATTTAAATGTAGCCAGGAGGTTGTCTGAAGCATGGACAAGAAAAAAGATCACCCACAAGACATCTGTCTTAGTCAGGGTTGCTATTTCTGTGATGAGACACCATGACCAAAGCAACTTACTCAGGGAAAGGGGTTTTTTCAGCGTATGCTTCCACATCACAGTCCATCATTAAAGGAAGTCAGGACGGGAACTCAAACAGGGCAGAAACCTACAAGCAGGAGCTGATGCAGAAGCCACAGAGGGATGCTGCTTACTGGCTTGCTCCCCATGGCTAGCTCAGTCTGCTTTCTGATAGAACTCAGGACCACCAAAGATAGCAGCACCCACAATGGACTGAGCCCTCCCATACCAATCACTGATTACGGAAATGCCCTACAGGCTTGCCTACAATCAGATCATGTGGACGCATTTTCTCAACCAAGGCTCCCTCCTCTGACGACTCTAGCTTGTGTCAAGCTGACATGAAATCAGTACAATGTCTGATTCCCTCAATTTCCTTAATCATTCACTGGTCCCTTCACCTAAGATAAGCCTTCCTTTCCTTCAGACAAGCCCCCTTTTCCCCTCAAAGAAGCCTGGAAGTAAACAGACTTCCTAAATGTAAATTGGAAGTGAATAGTCTGGGTCCACTCAAGCTCTGACAGGGGTATTATTTTTATTATAATAATTTCATTCATAAATGTAAAGTGTTGTGATCAGACCCATCCCCATTTCCCCTCTCCAGTCCCTACCCATCACTCCACCACTCTTCTTTTCCAATGTCATGTGTTCTTTTTCTAAATCCACCAAGTCTGCTTAGTGCTACCAGTATGTGCATGGATGGGCACAGGGCCATTGTCAAGAACATGGGCAGCCCTCAGTGGCTGCATTTGTAAAGAAAATGGACTCTCCCAGCAGCTGCCATTGATCGCGGATTGCTCCTGTGCTGGGGCTGGGGCCTTATGATCACTCGCTTTCGCTTTGGTAATGATTTCTGAGCCTTCAGAGGAGGAGGTTGATATATATTTCTTAAGTGGGACTGAGCACTTGGGGACACTTATTCTCAGATAGAGGCATTACTGTATATCAGTTAACATATTTTAACTTCCAAACAGCAGAGACATTAAATCTAAGCTCATTGAACAACGGCCATACAGAATGGTGAACAACTATAGCTTCACGGAAGGCTTGAATCACTTAGATGGCAAGAACAGGACTCTTACATTCTCTACTTAAGTCCCTGTTTGCTATTCATTTCTCAATCTATTTCCCCAAAAAGTCCCAGTGGGGAAAAAAATCACACTGGCTTGTCATTCAGAGGCCATCTTTCAACCAGTTTCTGTAATCAGGATGGTGAGTACCCTAGAGGTAAAGGATACTGAAGCTGAACGGTAGAATCAGCTGTAACGACTCCACAGGGTGGAACACGGATAGAAAGGTGAATTGCTTATAAAATACGCAAGGCTTTTGGACAAGAAAAAGAGCAAGTCAATCAAGACATTGTACTGAGACAGCATAACATGGCTGAGTGAAGGCGTCATCTATCCACACAAAGATAGAACACAGCAATCCGGCTTGTTAGGAGTTAATGTTGGTGCAGGAAGAGACTGCATGCCAGAATTCACTGTCATTATTTCTATTAAGAAGCCCAAATCTGCTTGCTTGCTTGCTTGGACGATAATTCTTTCGGATTACTGACTGCCACACTGGGAGCTGTGACAATTAGATTTCCAGTCTGTCTCATGTTTCTTCTTTCTCTTATATCAGTGGTTCTCAATCTGTGGATTGCAACCTGTTTGGGACCAAATGATCCTTTCATGGGGTCACCTAAGACATCGAGAAAACAGAGATATTTACATTACAACTCCTAACGGTGGCAAAATTACACGTATGAAGTAGCAATGAAAATAAATTTATGTCTGGGGGTCACCATGACATGAGGAACTGTATTAAAGGCTTTCAGCCTCGGGCTGAGAACCACTGTGTTAGATCTTTATTACCCTACCTATTCCATGGATTAGGACAATCCCCATATCTTGCACCCAGACAGCTATTCTCTCTGCTTTGTTCAGCTAGTCTACAAGCTTCAGTGAACACAACCTTTATCGTAACTTCTAAAACTTCATCTCTGAGCCCACTCTACCAATCACAGAACTTTATTAATTAACCCAGCTTCATTTCAGACTCTTTGGTGTCTCAGAGTCCTGTATTTGTTTTTGTCTGGCTCCAAAGAAGGCTAGCTTAAAGCTCTATTTAATAATGGGAGAACAAGGTCATCAAAGACATCCTCTGGGAAGAATCGTTGGGCAGATTTCACTAACTCTAAGCTTTTTGAGTATGGTGCCTTTCCTCTGTAGTACCCTAAGCAATCATGAAATGAGTTCATATCAAAATAAATGCCTTTTCAAGACAATGCAATACCCCCAGACCAGCATTTCTAACATGTGAGTTAGTCTGGTCACAGTGAAAGAATGATGACAAGCTTGTTACAGCAGCCAGCCTGCACTTGAACAACTATAGAATTAGGAATTTTAATAGAGATTACAGTGGATAGTTTTGTTGCTTCTCGGAATTCGGAAGCCTTTCCTATGCTCCGTGAACCCACTATCATTCGAGGAGGAATGTGACATCTCTGATGTAAAATGAAATAGCAGACACAGAAGAATCTACCCTGCCTTAAACCTTCGGCATGTCAGGCATGCATGTGTACCCCAGTCTCATTTGGGAGACCTGAACTTCGAACTACTGAAGAGTGTAAGTTAATCTAAGAAGCTGACTATCTAAAATCATTAGTTTCACTCTCGATGTCTTGTGTCCTGGTGGTGGTACTGGCTGCATTCTATCCAGGGCATTCCTAAACAGTGACTTATAACTATGTCAAAAAGATAAAAACCGCAACAAATTTACTTTAAAGACCATAACTGACTTTTATTTACACTGCTAAATTACAGCAATCCTCAGGATCAGAAGATGTTCTAGCAACTCTTTTCAACAAGATCGGGAAGTATTTGTGGGCAGGGAACAAGCGAGACAGAGAGACCTCTTCATCTGGCCACTAAAGATAGTCTGGAAGCTTAATTATTTGTGCGCCAGTTAGCACAAGTGATTCCATGTTACTTTCATGTGGTTGACCAGTGTAGAAAGACAAGCCCAAATCACAGTTTTCCTATAAACTGCACTTAACTACTACAGGGAAAATGGCTTTTAAGACTTTGTGAACACAGTCCTCTCCACAGAGTCAATTGTTCCTTAATTCTGCCATCTTTTAAGACTCTGCTTAGCACTGGTGCATCTGTAATTTTTTAAAAAATGAATATCCAGATAAAATACACTTTTCCTTCTACACAGCTCCTTCTATGTAGAGGCATATCACACACACACACACACACACACACACATATATATATATGAATTTCTAATATATGTGTGAGAATTTCTACAGGTATGATTTTAAATATATGTTTGTTGGGGTTCAGGAGTCACCCACAAACCACACAAACACCAAGCTTAGTCAGACAGGGATGGTTCATTGAAAGCACACCCTAAGACTTATTGATTAGGGCTGCAGCTAAGAATCTGGTGGCTGAGGCTACGAATCCAAACATTTTTCAGAGCAGGCTTATAAAGGAAAAAGCCACAACGAGCTCGGGTACAGGTGCTGGAAGTGCTGCCCAGTGGTCAGCTTTGACTCAAGCTATTTTAGACGTAACAGTTCATATTGACCTTTAATTTGATGGGTTCTATGTAAAGCTTTGTGGAATTTCTTAAGATTATCAATTGTCATACTGAACATAACAAGGTATGTGATCAATATGACCTTGCTCTGAGTCAAGTTATTTCTCTGTGTCAATGACTGGTAGGCATGTTACAACAACAATATGAAAGAGCTGGAAAGCAGGGAACAAAATGGCTACAGCTATGCTGGGGGAGGGAGCAGGCCTTAACAATATTAAATATATGTAAATAACCTACTATGTTGTGAGCAACTCCTCGATAGTGCATTTCGTCACCTCCTTCCAAGGTCTATGTCACTGCAGTCCTTTATATAAGAGATAATATGTGATTTTCCCTCTCTTGACTCAAAGAACAAAACAAGGAGTTCATAAAGATTTAGTTACAGGTATTGACTGATCATGACTGGCCAAGGCTAGAGGTTTATCTTCCTGAATCCTGAGTTGAGGAATTTGAGAATGATAGAAGAAATAGAATTTGCTTCATTTAATGAAGAACACAGTGATTATATCTGTGTGACGGATCATTGTTGTTTATCTTAAAAACCAATTCAATCCTTTAAAGTCTGGTCTAGTTCTATCAGAAATACTGGTCTACAAATGAAAATGACGGCAGGAAATCAAGGGGGTGTGGGGCATCAAGATAGTAAAACTTAAAGGAGGCACTCAACTCTACCAAATACAGGAAAAGGGGGAAACAAACATTGACTACTGGACATTGAAGGGTAAAAATTACTGGGGGTGCTGTGGTACAGGTTTGGCTTGCATGATAAAACAAACAAAAACCAAAACCTAAAAAACCCGTTGGTGATCTTGTCATGAGACAATTCACAGCCTGGCGGTGGTGGAGCACGCCTTTAATCCCAGCACTTGGGAGGCAGAGGCAGGCGGATTTCTGAGTTTAATGCCCCAGGGCTATACAGAGAAACCCTGTCTCAACAAAGAAACAAGACAATTCACTGTACTGGTTTAGGACTAGACCACAGGTGGAATACAAAATAGTAAAAGAAACTAATCCCAACACTGGCGAGGCAGAGGCTGGTGAATCTCTGTGAGTTCATCTGGTTCCAGGACAGTCAGGGCTACACAGAGAACTTGTCTCAAAAATCTAAATAATAATGATGATGAAATTGTACACACGCACACACACGCACGCACGCACACGCACACACGAATGTGGTTGACTGGAGTCGGGGAAGTTTTCAATTAACTTTCGAAATGAGTCATTTCAGCACCTTCATCTACTGATGGGAAAGATTCAACACAATAAAACACGATAAAAGAGACAGGTCCAAGCCCTTAGATAAAAAATGATTCCAGGTTCCAGTTATTAGAACTCTCCAGATTTCCAATTGCTTTAAAAGTTTAAAGAATAAGTAAATTCACAAGGTATTTCTAGTTAGACACGCACTGTACTCGAGCTGTATTGCAGAACTAGCTGGGTTCGTTTGAATAGCAGTCCTATTGCTTTGACTTTGAATTACTTAGGTTTTCTTTGGTTGAGGCTTTGATTTCCTCCGTGGAAAGGGCAAGATTCCGCGGAACTGGCAGGGTGGTTCGCGGGCCTAACTGGGAGGATCCCAGTGAAGGTGGCACTGTGCTGGCCCAGGTGAGACTCATCGCCTTAGCTACTAAAGGCGACTGAAAGCGGGCCAGTGTGGGGCTGACATTACCTTCCGACCCGGAGACACTGGCGTTGCTAAAGACGGCAACAAACAAACCTGAGAAACACAATTCACTAACAGCACAGACAGTAAAAACAGCTCCCAGGAAAATTGCCCAGCAGAAACTCCCAAAAGCCCCGTCGCGTAGCATGCACATGCGCAGTCGCTGCAAGACGCGCCTCTCGTTTGCCCCGGAGGCGCGGATTGGACAAGACACTTCGTGAGAAATGCGAGTTCTCGCGGGAACAGTATTCAAAAACTCCGGCGCTTACTTAGCAGTGCTTCGGCCGAATGGATACGGTGGTGTTTCTGTGCTAAGGTGGATTTAGTGTCACAGTCTAGGCGCCCAGTGCTCTCCGGACAGGCCTTCGGTTGTAGCATCAAGGAAGCGTGAGGAGAGAGGTAAAAGCGAGCGGCGAAAAGGGTGTATCGGGCGGCCGCAGGCGGAACGCCTGTTCCCCCGGAACCTGAGTTCTCAGGAGCTGCCTTCCGGGACGGTGTCGTTTTCAGTCGGACCGCTTCGCTGCGGGTTTGACTGCAGATAGAGATATACGGTGCTGAGTGGTCTTGTTACTAGTTTCTTCTGCGACCTCCGAGTCTTGAATTCTCTAGTACCTTAACCCCCTAGCCAGTGGTTCAGCCAGAATTAACTGTTGCAAATATGTAACAAACACACACGACGGAGTCTCATTGTAGCATTTTATTCACTTACTTTTTTACTTATTATTATTTATCTTTTATTCACATTACATCTCAGCTGCAGCCCCTCTCTCCGCTCCTCCCATTCTCGCCCCAACAAATCCCTATTTCCACTACCCCCACCCTCTTTTCTCAGAAAAGGGGAAGTCCCCCCACCCCCCTCGGGACTTCTAGTCCCCAGCAGGGGTAAGCATTTCCCAACCAGGCAGTCCAAGTAGGGGAAGGGGATCCAATGGCAGGCAACAGAGTCAGAGACAGCCCCGCTCTAATTGTTAGGGGACCTACAGGAAGACCAAGCTGCTCATCTACTGCAAATGTGCTAGGGGACTTAGGTCCAGCCCCTGCATCCTCCTTGGTTGGTGGTTCAGTCTTCAGCCCCCATGGGCTCAGGTTGGTTGACTCTGTAATGTTGTGGCCTTGACCCTTTTGGCTTATTCACTTATTACCCACAAGACTCCCAGAGCCCCACCCGATGCCTGGCTATGGGTCTCTGCTTCCCCTTCCATCTGCTGGATGAAGCCTCTCAGGAAACAGTGATGTTAGGTACCTGTCTGCAAACATAGCACAGTATCATTAATAGTGTCAGGGGTTGACTCTCTCGTGGGATGGGTTTCAAGTTGGACCAGTCAGTGGTTCTTCTCCATCTTTATCCCTGTGCATCCTATAGACAGGAGAACTTTTGGGTTGAAGGGTTTGCATGTGGATTTATTTTTTTATTCAATGATTAGAGATTACAGTGGTAACATTTTAGATATTTGGGTTAAATGTTTTCACTCGTACTTATTTGTGAAAATGTGAACCCCCCCCCCCGAAAGTTTAAAATCCATTTAGCGTGTATGCTATTTCTGTTGATACCCAGTCAGAATTTGTGTGTTCTCAATCCAGTTAGAGGCCTTTTACTCTTCTCGTCTTACAGACTCTATTAAGGTAGATGAAACAAGATGTTCACCAAACTTTTTCACACTGATGTAGCCAGTTGGTGGTGGAAGTGAGCTTTGAACCCAGATAGCTAGCTCGTCCACAGAGCTTCCTGTCATTTTAATGCATTATACGGGTTGTGGTTTTGAGAGGTTGTACTGAAGAGTGATTAGCACACCAGGCTTTGGAGCTCCACTCTGATTTTTATGTCATTTAACCACATCTGTGTATCGCCTACTATTTTCTCTCAAACCTATCCCAACCAGGCTTTCGGCTCACTTCTCCAGCAGAGCACCTTGGGCCAGTGCCCTGCAGTTCCCAGTTTCTCACCTAATTTGCCTTAGTATCATTTGCCATGATGGTGTTGCTTTCCACCTCCTGGAGGAATTTTGTCTTTTTGGCTCCCAGAATATTAAGCGCTTTCTGCTTACTTCATGAGTCTTACCTGAGGGTACTTGTGGTCTTCCTTCATAACAGCCTTTAGTTCTGAGACTTGTCAGCAATTACGCTCATCTTCTAGTGATGAGGAGTGTTAAGGACTTAATGTTGGCACTGTCCAAATTTGTATTTTCAGCCCAACATATTCAAGTGCTTAACCATGTCATACTCAAAATACGAATTCTAGCTTTCTTCCCTTTCAGCTGAGGGTAGCTCTGTTCCAGTAATTACTCAGGCCAGAAGCCTTATATCCGTTTTTTTTAACCTCCCAGAATCTGCCTATCAAAAAATTGAATTGACTTTACCTTCACAAGTTGTGTAGAGTTTGGCCATTTCCCGATACCTACTGTGCTATCTAATATCCTTTTTGTTTTTATATGCCAGTACTGTTGACTATGTATGTTTGTCTTCTCCTGCTCTGATGTCACTACATTTAGTTCCAAGTTTAGCTCAAGTAGTTGTATTTTGTCTTTACAGTAGATTGAAAACAGAAAACATGGAGGCAGATACCACAGTTCTCCGAAAAAAGCTTAAAGAGTGTGAAGACGAGCGACTGAAAGCTGCACAGTATGGCCTACAGCTACTGGAGAGGCAGACGGAATTGCAGAGTCAGTTGGATAAATGTCATGAAGAAATGATGGTCACAGCCGAGGTAGGATTCGGTACACCTGTTTACAAGGAAGTGCTTAGGGACTAAAAACTTGTTTTACGTGGCAACTATCAGTTCTCTCTTGACGACCTAAACTTACTCACCCTAGCTGCATTGAGAAGGGGGATGAACTAAATGAATGTCCATGTTCTTTCCAACAGTTGGTTGGCTCTGAGTTCAGCCTGCTCTCCTTGCTGCCTTTACTGCCAGGTGTTGTTCAGTCCATGCTCTGCTTTTGTGACCTCACTTCCTTTATAGTTCTAACCCTCTGAGTGCTCCATGGCATTACACCAAGCCTTTAGTTCTCCCTGAAGGCTAAATTGGTGTATTCAAGTACCTGCCATTGATGGACATCTCAAGCTTGACACGGCTTGTTCTCTGTCTGCTAGCTGGATGTTCACTTGCTTTAGTAAACGAATTGGCATTCATTTGAACCTGAAGTCAAGGGGTCCCACATTTTATCCATCAATAAATCTAAGGACTTGACTTATATCTTCGTTAGCTTTCTATTGCTGTGATGAAACACCATGACCAAAAACAGCTTTGGAGGAAAGGGTTGATTTCATCTAGAGAAGTCAGAACTGGAGCCTGGAGGTAGGAACTGATGCAGAGGCTATGGAGGGGTGCTGCTTCCTGGCTTGGCCAGCCTGTTTTCTGATACTAATTAGAACCACGTGTCCTGGGGTACAGTGTCTCACAGACTTGCCTACAGGTGGGTCTTACTAAGGTGTTTTCTCAGTTAAGATTTCCTTTTCACACATATGTCTAGGTTTGTGTTAATTTGCCAAAAGACAAACAACTAGCACGACCAAAACATCTGCCTGAGATACTGCTGCTCTAGCCCAGACCACAGCCATCTTTCCACTGTACTGCTGCTGTAGCCTTCTAACTGGTTGCCAGCTTCCATCATTATCATTGATATCATTCATGCGTTACTCATCCAAGTGGTCATGAGAAAATAAACAAGGGCTCCTTTCTTTCCTTCTGAGAGCCACATGGGGCTTTCTTTTGTACTTTCAGCCGAGTCTGAGCTTTTTGTATAGTCTCATGTTCTGACCTCTGCCTATGTGAGCACCACATTTCACATGTGTTTTCTGTAGTCTTTCCTTTACTGGCTTTGTATTGAATGTTTCTTCTGGAGTTAATCATCCACTCTTCTTGACTCCGTCCTCAAACACAGACTGCCAGTTAAGTATCCTGTCAGCATGATGGCTAACATTGACTATAGAATGTAAAGTTGTCAAAATTGGCTCTTAATTCTCTCATGCTGATTATCTCCAGAGTTGCAAGCTGCACAAGAGGAAATTTTGTCTATTCTTATTCACTAATACACCCCTGTTGCCTGGCACACAAATATTTTTAAAGTTACTAAATTAGTTTAATATTAAATGTTTAGTGTTTTAATACTGAATTTCAGAATTATAAATATAACAGGTAAACATCACTAATGACAGCTGTTTTTCCAAGTACTGCTGTTCTTAATAAGTACTCAATGCCAAATCATGAAACAAAGATTATACATCTCAGGGTGGAAACAAAGTCATTATTGAACAATTGTTTTGAAAACACCTCATGAAATTTAGGTTTCTTTTAAAATAGAAGCACTTTGGAGAGAGTGATGAAAATAATTCTAGTCTTTTTCCCTAGTTGAATTGAATTTTATTTATCTTATTTTTTGTTTTGTTTTAATTTTTTAAATTATTCTTTGAAAATTTTATACAGTATGTTTTGATATGTTCTTCCACCACCCCTAAACTCTTCTCAGATTCTCTCTACCTCTCCACCTAACTTCGTATTTTTTTCTCTCTCATTAAAAGACAAACAAAACCATGGAGTTCAGTTTGTGTTGGCTGACAACTCCTGGGAATGGGGCATGTCCTAGAGTGTGGTTGATTTACCCAGTGTCACTGCATTGAAGAAAACTGATTTTACCCTCTCCCAGCAGCTATCAGTTGTAAATAGCTTCTTGGCTAGGATTGGGACGTTATACCCACTTCTTTCTCCTGAGCTGAGATTTTCTCTGGCTGTTTATGAAGGCCTTGAATGTGCTGTCAGAGCTTCTGTGTTTATATCCATATCTGCCCTGTTGTGTCTGGAAAGCGTTGTTTCCTTGAGACTATTTACCACCTCTGCCTCTCAAAGTCTTTCTGCCTCCGCTTCCAAATGGATCCCTGAACCTTGAGGAGATCTGTGTTCTTTTAGCAGAGTAATAGTTATAGGTTTTCCCCTAGGGCCCATGACCTATCTAGCCTCAGATTCTTGGCTTCATTGACAGTGTCAGGTCTGGGTTTCCTCTGGCAGAAGAGGATGGGAGGGCTCAAATCTAAGTTAAAAGGTGGCTGGTTGCTCTGTTACACTCAAGCCACTGTTGCACCAGCAGGCCTAACTTGCAGGAAGTCATTAAGTTGTAGCTCACAGTTTTTAGCTGAGTGAGTTCAGATATTCCTTTTTTCCTCAGGTATTATACGTAGCACATTGAACACTAGCCAGTCAGGTGAAGCTAGATTCTTTTCCATGTTGGTGTCTCTTGTAATAGGGTCTTACAGCAAGTTGTGGAGGACAATCAATAACCTTGGCAATAGTCTGTAATATTGCTGGTGCAGGAAGGCATCTATGGGACTCCATTGTCCAACAACTCAAAAATATGTAACCCATTGCTGGTGTTGAGTTTTATTTGGTAGTATATGATGTCTGGTTTGGGTATTACACCTACCCAGAATTATATGGTGGCACTATTAAACCCCCTTTTCATAGGTGTATACATCTTAGGACGTTTTTATAGTAGTTTTTGCAAGACTTTCACTGTTAGTTGTTCCTCCCCCAGATCCCTTCTCTGCCCTGCTTTAACTCATAAAAAAAAAAAAAAAGTTTACAAGGAACTCCAGTACTTCTCAGTAACCATAGCATGTCTATACTTATTTTGTAAATGTAGCTACACTCTGAAAGTATTCAGTATTTTTCCTTCTATCTGTTCCTCTGTTTTTCAAGGCAGTCAAGGAAGAACATCTCATTATCAACTAGTAATGCTTACCAGGAACATTTGAGTGCTGGTAAAGTATCCTTGTTTCTCTTTCCATCGGGATTGATAGAGCATCATACTCCGGGCTCATTCTTCCTTGATAGAGAACTGCAGCAATTGCCACCCCTCCATCCAAGACTTTAACATACTTCCCCTGTCTATAGTTGTCCATAGACAATACATGGACAATTCTAGATATAAATAATTTATGTAAAATAATAATTTATAAATCTGTGTCCTGCTTGGGACACGAATCACTGTCCAGAGTACCTGAAGCAGATGTTGTTCCTCTTGCTGTCTTACAAGGTCGTGAGTCATCTCACACGGTGTCATATGCCTTACGTGGCACCTGTCACATTTCATCTCGTCACACAGATGTTATACTATCTAGCATCTAAGAATAGTGAATATAGTACAGTAAGATTTTGAGAGAAAAATGACACATAACTTTTTAAACTGCTCTTTTTGTTATTGGTTGTATCATTAATTTATTACTGTGTCAAATTTAAAGTTAAATTTTGTCAGGTCAAATACTACATATTGTGTGTGGGTGAGCATGGTCTATGTAGGTACTGTTTGTGGATCCAACCATCAGGCGGGGGTTCCCAGCAGGTAAGATGCAGATGACGTCCAACGCTGAGCCTGGATGCCTGACACAAGTTGATCTGTTGAACAGCGTCTGGCATCCACGAGCATTTTCTCCTGCTGCTTTAAGAATGTGTTCCTGTAACAGTTCCCTTAGAAAGCCTCTTCTCAACCTGCCCTTGTCCTCAATACCAGTCACTGTGGCTTCAAGTTGCTGAGTGTTTTGTTTATATGGATCTTGAGGTTAGCTTTTTGAGTATGCACAGAATGGATAGTTGTTGGGAAGGAGGGCTGAGTGTCTCTGTCAGGGGGTTACAGTGTTTCTGGTCTAGTGACACCAAAGGCCCCTTTATTTTTTCTTGTTTCTCAAGTGGATTCTAATTATGGAAAGATTCTGTTATTGTACTGTATTAAGTAAAAAAATAACTTACTGTTCTAATAATCAGCCAAATTCTTAGTTTTTGATCAGTGTGTGATAAGGCTTACTACCATGACAGTTATTGTTTAGCCAAGAGCAAGAATTTTTCAGGAAATCCTTAACACTTAGCAGTGTGAAGTTTCTTTTGGATTTTGAAATCCAGAGACTACCTCCTCCATTACTATCTGCACTGCTGGCTTTCAGGGCAGCAGAGACCACAGATTGGAAAACAATAGTCAGTAATTTCCTGGGATCAGTGCCTTTCCTCCTTTCAACTAAGTATTGTGAGATCCCTGACATCTCTAAATACACCTTTTGGGATTCATTAAGACTGATTAGCAAGTTTGGGCTCATAGGTCATTTAGTAAAATGCTTTCCTGAGTGTAGTTCCCAGACACAGTGCAACAATGTCTTCTTGTTATCCATCCCAGCTCCGGAGAGTCAGCAGTAGGTGGGTCCCTGAGGCTCAGCACACTGGCAATCCCTCCTACCTACTCAGCAGGCAGGTTTCAGGTCAGTGGGAGACTTTGTCCCAAAAATAACGTGGTTATTACCTGAGGAACAATACCTGAGGTTGTCATTTCTCCTACAGTAACATACATAGACGTGTGTGCTTTCCCACGTGAACATGCATGAAAACTTGCCTCCACCTCAAAAAAGTAAATGACAGATTAGCTATGCTAGTCCTAATTTGACAGGTGGTTGTTCCTTGGAAAGCAGCAAATGAAACAGGTATGAACCAGCTTAAGGTGCTAACTAATAATATCCAATGATTGAAGGTTTTTTATGCATTTAAATGTGTTTTCAGAATTATAACCAAGAGAAGTATGCCCTTCAAAGAGAAGTAGAGCTCAAGAGTCGGATGCTGGAAAGTCTGGGCTGTGAGTGTGAAGCCCTGAAACAGCAGCAGAAAACGCAGCTGGAGCAGTTAGAAATGCAGCTACACAGAAGCCACAGGCAGGAAGTGAACGACCTGAAAAACAAGGTTTGCATCTGTGTTCACAGTAACCTATCCTGTGCCTGCATGGCTGTCTGTAAGTACTGGGTGGGTGGGGTGCTTAAGTACCAGCTCTGCAAAACCACTAAGAAGTTTCTGTGTCTTAATGTTCTGAGTGGAAACACTGAGAGACAAGCTATTAAAGAATTTGTATATGTACATACTAGTCTTCTAATTACATGTGATAATTTATTTAATTATTTAAATTAGGTAGCTGAATATTTGTATTTGAAGTGTTTGTAATATTAGTGACCAGTGTAGCCTTCGTACAGCATGTGGTGTGGCTCACCTTGCAAGATAACTAGTTCTGCAGCAGTTCCTACAGTGAGTTATGTGCTGCAGTACAAAGCGTCCTGCCTGGTAAGGGAATGTGCTTTAGAGGTGAAACTTTGTAATATGTTTATGGATGATCCAGTCCTCACAAGAACTCTGGGAAAGAGGTAACATTATCTCCATTACGACAGACAAGGATGCTAATGTCTAGGCAAACTGAGAAAACTGAACAAAATAAGAAGTACAAATTGTCAAGAATCCCTGGGCTTTGTGCACTTGGTCTAGTGGGTATCATATACACAGGCTCTGTTCTAGTTACAAAGTGGGCAGCTGTTCAGTGAGCCCATTCACTCTCAAAACCCCAACTGCCCAAGGCTTTCAGTTTGCATCTAAGAAATGTCTGGCTTTGCTTATGCATATGAAGTTTGTAACCTGATTTTTTTAGATCCTACTCTATGCAAACTTGATAAGATTTTTTAATGCCTTATTTGTTCAGAAATCTGTTTTTCAATTATTAGTATTTTGTATAGTGTCTCTTAATATTTTTCCATGTCCGTTTTCACCTATAAGTTGTCATTCAACTAACTATTTATTTTTCCATTTAAAATGATGGTATTGGTGTAATCATATTTGAGTAAGTAATGCTTTTATGTATCTTACCTGTGGCTCTGAGAGGTAGCAATCCTGTTTGCAGCTAATCTGATCTGAGATGTGGATGGCTAGAAATGTTTTTCCTTCCCACGGGGAACTAGCAGTAGCCTAATTACCTAAGTAGATGTGATAAAGGAAATATTTAGGTACTAGATAAACTAAAAATAATTATAAAGATGGACTTTTTATAGAAGAAAAAGTAAATTTTTAAAAATTATGGCATTGCTGATGTTCTCAAACCATTTGCTTTTAATATCTTTAAGGTTTACTCATTTTATTTTTCTTATTTCTCACATTTAATCTGTCATTCCAAGGAGTTGACCTATAAAATGTTATGGTAGCTTCTGTCCCTGTAGTCCAGCCATCAGCATCACATGACTGTGGTTTTCTAATCAGGTTACCTGCTTGCATCATTGTTACCCATACTGCTGCTGCTTCTCCTCCCCTTCCTCTTCCTCCTCTTCCTCCTCTTCTCTGTTCCTCTTCTACCTCCTTTCCTCTTCTTCTTTTCCTCTTCCTCCTCCTCCTCTTTCTCCTCTTCTTCTTCCTTCTCTTCCTCTTCCTCCTATTCCTCTGTCTTTTTCCTCCTCTTCCTCTTCTTTGCTGGAGATGAGGAGTACTTCCCCTTCTCTATGAGGTCCAGATACCTCATGGTTAGCTCTACCATCTTCAGTTGCTTCTAAGAACACCAGGGCTTAGATGACTAGTGTGGGTTATTCCTGAATTTGTTGAAAATACTCTTAGTGGGTAGGGATCTAACTTGGTGAGAGAGATTTAACTTGAAAACTCAAGACCCTGCATTCAGTTCCCAGCACCACAGGTCGGGGATGGGGGGATGAGAGTTACTTTGCTCACCTCACTCAGATCCGGTGCATTTCTGTAGGGTAGCAACCAAAAAGTCAGGAATGAACTCTAAATACGGATTTCAGAAAGGAAAGAACCTTTGAGTTTGGAGGTTGTGAATCTTTCTGTCTCTTTTCTGGATTTAGTTAGAAAATCTGAAAGTGGAATTAGATGAAGCAAGGCTTAGTGAAAAGCAGCTGAAGCAGAAGCTGGATCACCAGGGGGAACTTCTCTCTCACAAGTCAGAAGAACTCCGACTAATGTCTGAGCAGCGAGTACTCAATAGCATGTCTTCGGAGGTGCTGGCTCTTCAGACTGAGCTAACTGAAGTGGAAGGTGTGAAGGTAATTTATATCTCAGGTGTTTTCTTGTTTTACTTTAGTCTATTTCTGCATGTTCTTGTCATTGTTCTTAAGAACTAGTTTGAGGGCTGAAATGGCTTTTTATTCAACCACAATCTTGCTGCTGAACTTTCAGGAGGATTGCTTCATTCATAAACTAAGTTTCTATTTTATGCTTACATGAGACAGGTTTTATTTTATAGGAACTCTGGGCTCATTAATAGGCTTTTATTCTGACCTGAGTTTGGATCTTAAAAGCCCAATATAAAATATTAACACAGTGGAAATTAAAATGCATGTTAATATGGATTTTTCATTTCAACTAAAGATAATTAAAACTTAAAATTCACAAGAAAAGGGGGGCATTTCCAAGGTATTTTTGTTGGTTCTCTGCTAAAAACAAAATATTAAAATATACTTGGCAGCCATTGAATTTGTTTTTTTTAATTTTGGTTGGGAACCAATACTAAATACTGAATCAACTGCTGAGTGGAAAGTTTTGTTTGTTCCTGTTGAATAGAATGCCCTCAAAGAAGAGGTGAATGAACTGCAGTACAAGCAAGAGCAGCTGGAATGTCTCAACACTTCCTTACTGCACCAGATCGACCGGCTTAAAGAAGACAAAGAGGAGCGAGAGAGGGAAGCAGTCTCTTACTGTAATGCCTTGGAGGTATGATGAGGGCCACCACGCTGGTTAGAAGCCATGTGCCCTCTGCTGTGCTCCATGACTGAAACTGGTTTCTTTTTCATCTAGAAAGCGCGCATAGAAAATCAGGATCTTCAGGTGCAGCTGAGTCACGTATTCCAGCAGGCAGCAGACCCCAACAGCAAAGGAAACTCCCTGTTTGCAGAGGTACTTGCAAGTGTTCTCCTGACTTAGTTGACTAGACTGACATCTCACCTTCTACAGGAACAAGCACGTTAATATTTTCCAGGTGGAGGATCGAAGGGCGGCAATGGAACGCCAGCTCAACTTGATGAAAGACAAATATCAGTCACTGAAGAAGCAAAATGCATTCACCAGAGATCAGATGAACAAGATGAAGGTATACATAGATCGGTAAAGGCTTCCAAATCTTCAGTCCTAGCACTGCGTATGCAAGTATATACAGGAAACATTTTCTTCAGAAAGTGTACTCATGCCGGGCAGTGGTGGCGCATGCCTTTAATCCCAGCACTTGGGAGGCAGAGGCAGGCGGATTTCTGAGTTCGAGGCCAGCCTGGTCTATAGAGTGAGTTCCAGGACAGCCAGGGCTACTCAGAGAAACCCTGTCTCTAAAAACCAAAAAAAGAAAAAAAAAGAAAAAAAGAAAGTGTACTCATGTGATTATTTGTAGACTTGTATGATTCTTATTTTTTATTAAAAAAATCTTGGGGCAGCAGCTGCTGATTGCTTCAGCGGTTTCTCACTGACATGGCCAGGTAGGCAGTGAGTTGTTTTTGTCCAGTTGGAATGAGAGAGAGTTTATTTTTTGCTCATAGCACAGTGTCTTCTTGAGCATCACACTGTTTCCTGCTTCGTCTAGACTTACTCTCTCACCTGTTCTCACACGACAGCCCAGGCTTTATTGAAGTCTGCACTGTGCGTGGCCCCCATCCCCGCCATTCATTAAGTCCGCACAGACTGTCAGAATTGGAAGGCTTCTTTTTCTGTTATAGCTTTTATAGCACCGAGAAAAAAAGTCCTGTCTCCACCTGGTTCCGACCCTTCCTCCCTTTGCCCAATGCTGCAAAGAAATAATGGACTACTAAAAGGCTCCCTCTCATTTTCTCTCGTTTCCTCTCGTACGTGTTACAAAGCAGTGAGGAAATTCAGTGATGGACCTTGGGAGGTGGATGAGCTACTCAAGATGCCGTCTTAGGCTTCGTGTGTAAGTGGGAAGATGGCAGCCACCACACGCCTCTTAAGAGTTGTCCTGGACTTAGCACGTAGGAAAACACCTTTCCATTTTGTCATTTATTTCTGTAGGTAACTTAACAATTTCCCCATTTAATTAAAAATTTTAGGATATTGCCAGTAGACCCATGGTGGTAATTCAAGTGATGAGTAGCAGGCATGGTGTGGTCAGGCTCATGTGCTGTCTGAATGGCACGCTGCCGGGCCACAGCATGTAGTCTAATGTACATTTGACAGACCCATAAATGTGTTAAATACTTCAGATAAGCATAAACAATAGTCAGAATAAATACTCCAAAGTTAAATCCACCACAAAATGTTGAATGCAAATGTTTTCAGATTATGAGATGAAAAAGAGCTATTTACTTTCCAACATGAATTCAAATCTTGGAGCACAAAACAGTAATTATACCAGAAATATGTTTACCAGGATCTCAGTTTTGATTGGTGTATGTGTTTGATTATTTTTTTCTAGTTACAAATCTCCACATTGCTGAGGATGAGGGGATCACAAACCGAATTTGAACAACAAGAACGGTTGCTTGCCATGGTAGAACAGAAGAATGGTGAAATAAAACACCTTTTAGGGGAAATTAATAAACTAGAGAAATTTAAGGTATATGTAACATCTTTTCTAAAGCATAACCGAGTTCTGAATTGAAGTTTTCAATGTTTTTTTAGCTTCCATAGTTTATTATGCAGTCAGCTTTCAGTTTCTGTACAAGTTGACCCAATGTTTAAATTCTCTTGAATTCACAGCAGTCTTACCTCAGTCTTGCATGTATGATGTGAAGTCAGTTCCAACATCATTTGTTAAATGTGGCCCCAGTGAGATGTAGGTTTACCAACTACCAAGTTGCTATATGTGCGTGCATCTCTCGACCTATTCTGGGTGTTAGTTTACCTCTGTAGAGCAGTGTTATATTATTTAAGTTACACGGAGTTGTAGTACATGCTTTTATTTCTAGTTTTAGACTTTATTTCCCCTAGTTTTTTCTTCACAATGCTCTAGTTATTTTTACGTTTGCTTTTCTCTTATCTAATGCACGACTCCCCCCACACACACTATATTTATTTTGAAACTGGGGAAATTGGGGTTTCTGCAGCCTATAAAATTAGTTGCAATTTGCGTCTCCCCCCGCCCCCCCCCCCCACACACACTTCCTGGAAATACAAAGAGGTTTTTTTGAGCACTGGGAATGGGGGGTGGGATATCAAAAGTAACTTAAAGGATTTCCTCTCCATGGTTTTCCATTTTATGGCTTACTCTAAATTCCAGGACTGGTGTGGTTGGGAGTCTTAGTCTCAGAATTAAACATGTATTATTTTCATGTCCATGTCAAATTGAGCCATTTTCCTTATGTGAAAAACGGGGCTGCCACAGCTAGGTTAGGGGGATGATTGTTAGCATGGCGGCCTCAAACTGATGAGCACTTACTTAGTGGTGGCTGTTACCACTGTAGCAAACCTAGTCTGCTGTCTACTTCATGTAACAAGGGTGTTTGCTTTCACTAGAACTTATATGAAAGTATGGAATCTAAGCCTTCCACATCAGACAACGCTTGTACTGTAGAAGACAGCACCTATTACGCAGACTTACTTCAACTGAAGCTTGATAAACTAAAGTAAGTATTGGCGGTTGTGAATACACACATGAGGGAGTTTACTTGCTTATAATAATATTACTGATTTCTTGTTTGTTTCTTTTTAATTTTCAAAAAAATTTCAGAAGAAAGTCAATAAAATATCTTTGTGAGCATATGGGTTTATATAAAGTATGTATTTTATGTTCAGCATCTAGTTGGTAAGTGAAAGGGATTCTAAGTTTCTCAATTAGAATTTAAGAATAAATTCCAAATAATTCAAAACTTAATGTATGTGTTCATTTGGTAAAAATGTTTTCTCTCTCTGTTTAAAAGATTCGTAAAAGTCTTGTGGAGGTTGCATTGTTAGGACTTATTTAATTGTTCATTGTTTCTTTCATTTATTGCTAAAATTTCAGAAAAAGATGTCTTTTTAAGACACAAGGTTTATTCCACCGTGTCTGTGCCATGTATTATTTTCATATTCTTTAATTATTCTTTCCTGTTACTGTAGCAAAGAAACTGAAAGCATAAAGGGTGAACTGTCCATCCAGAGGATGAAGGCGTTACTTGAGAGCCAGCGGGCCCTGGATATTGAGCGGAAACTGTTTGCAAACGAAAGACACCTGCAGCTTGCAGAGAGTGAGAACATGAAGCTGAGAGCCAAGGTGGATGAGCTGAAGCTCAAGTACGAACCCGAAGGTGTGTTCTGTAGGCTCTCACCTTTCAGACCGGCGTCGCTCTGAGACACTGTCACTGTAAACCAACTTGTTGCTATGCATCTGTAGTACAGTGTAGCTGTCAAATGTGTAGGAAAACTAAGAGGATTGGTTACCACATAAGCATGAATATAATCATATTTTCTCTTGGGATATCTGAGTTCAACATACTGAATAGCAAGGACTTAAGTTTTTCTCCTTTAAGATTATAGCATCTCAGGGTGTCCCAAAGAGTTTTGAAGTTACTTTAAGAAAGGGTCTCACTGTGCAGTTCAGGCTGGCCTCATATTCATAATCTTCTTTATTCTGCCTCCTGAGTGGGATTGTAGATGTGTGCCATCATGCCCAACTCAGAGTTTCATTTGTTGAAGCAGCTGATACTGGGAGCTAGACCAGTTAAGTCTGTTTATGGAAGAACTAAGCAAGGCTTAGGTTCAGGGGCTTCCTCCTTCCTTCCTCTCCTCCCCACTCTCTCAGCTCCTCCTCCTCCCCTTCTGATGAACCTCTGGAGGAGCATTCCAGACCGATGGCGTACTGTGCATGTTAGGATCCCAGCTGTTTAGATGCTGTCTGTTGCCAGTCCATTGACTAGAAACTAGTCATGTTTCCCAGGACTCACCACCAGAAATGCTAGAAGGTGTAGTTTTGACCTCAAGAGCTATTCATATTGAGAGTTCTAATTGTTCTTCTGACACATAGTAATTGGACACAATTATTAGGGTGCAATGTGATGGCTCCACTTACTATGTATTATATAATGATCAAATCAAGGTAAGTTAATATCTATCCCTGTAGAAACATCTCAGAACTATTCATGATTTAAGTTGAATATCTTATTTTTTATCCCTTTGAAGTTGGGAAAACTCTTTGAAAGTTTTCTTTCTAACTCTGACTTACACAGTATGCTATTGGTGAGTGTGGCTGTCATGCTGTTAGCGCTCCCAGGTGAAGGAGATCACATAATACGTACTTTTTAAACATGTATTTATTATTCTTGTATGTGAGTGTGTACCTGTATGTATGTGTGCTTACACACCACAGCATGTGTGTGGTGATCACACACCAACATTATACGGCTGGTTCCCCCTTTCTACTGCTGTAGTACAGTACAGTAGTACGCTGTAGTGTCTAGTTCCTAAGCTTGAAGTCACATTCAGATAGATGCAAGCAACTACCCAATGAGCTGTCTCACTAGCCCCTAGTTTGCTCTTTTATAAAATCAGATTGTTTGTGAGGTATTTTGCTTTTGGGTTTTTATAATTTGTATAAATTTGATAAATTATGCTCACGTTTTATCAGCTGTGTAGTTTGCTGACGTTTCCTTCCACTGTGTCGATTCTCTTCATTGTTTCCTTTGCTGTTGCTGAATTTTAGTGTGGTTCAGCCTCATGTTTATTTTTGCTTGACTGCTTGTGCTTTGAGGTCCCCTCTAGAAGGCCTTCATAGCGCACTCATACAGCGCAGTATCCCTGATTTCTTAGCGCAATTACTTGAAGAAGTCCTCCTTTCCCTGTTGCATGTTTTGACTTTGTGAACATAGGAGCTGTGTGTTGGTGGCTTAGTTACTTCCCGGCTTTCTGTTCAGCTCTGTTACTCAGTGTTTCTTCTATTGCTGGTTTCCCAGGGGTCAGAAGACATTTGGTGGGACCCTGGTTTGGGTTTGTTTTTTGCCTGTTTCTCTTCAGAGTTGTTTTTTTCCCTAATATGTGATCTTCATATGCAGTAGAGAAGATGGGAATTCTACAGCTGTTGGATAGACAGCTGTAAGTTTGTATCAGCTCCATTGAAGTCTAGAGTGCACATGAAATGCACAGTGCTGCTGACTTTGTCTGGTTGACTTCCATGGCTGTAAGTGGGGTGTTGCCTCTGCAGTTGTTGCTTGTCCCACTGTCCGTCTAATACAGATTTGATCATGCTTGCATGGCGTGTTTCTGTTTATATTTATGCTACAGACCTGGTCTGGGCTCCTTTATCATTCTTTAATATCCCAGTCTTAATAGTTTTGATATGAAGTTTATTTGACTTGACATGAATATCTCACTTTCTCTGGTGGATTACATTTGTGTTCATTCATTTTTAGCCTCTGTATATCCTTATAAATGACACAAGTCTCGTGTTGGCAGCATCATTTGCTGTTGTTTCTGTAATCCCTTCAACCACTCTGTCTTTGAATTAGATTATGTAATCCATCTGCATCCGGGGCAATTACTGATCGCCAAGAACTTGGTGCTGCCGCATCACTGGTGGTTTTCTGGTGGGCCTTTTCTTCTTCCTTCTCTCCTACTGTCTCCATGTCTTCCTTTGAGCATAATCACCAAATTCTGTGCATGATACCATAGTGACTGGGGAAAAGGGAGTCACAGATGTGGAGAACCTTTTATAGTTCAGTCACTGTGTGTGTGTGTGTGTGTGTGTGTGTGTGTGTGTGTGTGTGTGTGTGTGTGTGTTGGTGGGGGAGGAGTTCAAAGTCTTCACCAGTGAATTTTGGTTTGCTGAGCTCGGTTAAGTGTTTTTGAGTGCATGGTTATCCATACTCTGATGGAAACACAGATTCTACCATCTTATTCCACCTTTCATCTTGGATTCTTTCTTTCCTCCCTCCCTCAATCCTTCCCTCCCTCCCCCTCTCTCTTTCTTTTCTCCCCCTCCCTCCCTCCCTCCCTCCCTCCTTCCCCTCCCTCCCTCCCTCCCTCCCTTCTCTCCCTTCTTCCCTCCCTCCCTCCCTTCTCTCCCTTCTTCCCTCCCTTCCTCCCTTCCTCCCTTCCTCCCTTCCTCCCTTCCTCCCTTCCTCCCTTCCTCCCTTCCTCCCTTCCTTCCTTCCTTTCTTAACTTTGAGACAGGTTCTCTCTATGTAGTCCTAGTGAGCATAAAACACATTGTATAGTCCAGACTTGAATTCGAGAACCTACTGCTGATGCCTGCTAAGTGCTGGAATTATAGGTGTGCACCATCATATCTGGCTCAAGAGTTCTATTTTTAAGGGAAAACATTTTGATGGGGGAAATATACTAAGTCTAATTACTTAGGAAATAGTCTACCTATACAGTCTTAGCAACTTAGATATTACAAACAGTGGGTTTTATTGTGTGTAAATTGAAAATTAGAAAGTCAGTGTTGAGAAATGTATGAATGCTATAGTTCTGACCCATCTCCTCCCTAAAAGTCTGGGTTAACATGTTTTAGTTTAAGAATTCTTAACCAGGTTACCTTTGCCTAACTGTTTGCAATTATATCTGGGAACTATAAGTCTCAACACCAGGGGGAGATTGTTGACAATAGGAAGATTTTTTTTTTATAGTTTTTAAAAGGCTTCTTTCTCTATCCTTTTTCTCTTTGACTCCAATAGGCTCCCATGATTAAGAATTACCCACCCGTTATGAATTTCAAAGGTCTGCCAACCCAGCAAACACTGGAGATGGTGGGGGTGGGGGGTCAGGATGATTCAGAAGCACAGTGCAGAAGAAAGGTGGGGGCTTGCTAATCTGAAAGCAGCAGTGTGAGCAGGGAGCCTTCCTGCTGTAGCACCTCAGGCTGCTGATGTTCTGATTATGAAAATGAAAGGGCACATCTGTGTGTTGGTGGGAGAAAGGCATTAGAGCAAATGGCTGTGGGACCCTCTTAGGGGATCAGCAGGTCATAAGGTGAGAACTCTGCTATAGCTGCTGTAAGGCAGGATGTGGTTGGGACTAGGGAGACATGCATCACAGACGTGGCTAGAGTCTGAATATATTTTATAGATGAGTCCAGTAGGCGTACATTACCAATATTCAGAGTTCCATCCTTCATTTCATCTCTACAAGACAGTAGTGAATGAAGCAAGTTTGGAGTTCTTAAAATTTAAAGATACTGAAGCACATAGAAGTTACTGCCTGAGGTCACCTGGCTGCAGTGTGGGACTCGAACCAGAACTCCTGGATTCGGCCACTGCTGTTTTACCTCCGAGGTTTCAGGAAGACAGCCTGCTTTCCTGCTGTCACCTGCACATCCTGGTCATTCCTGGGCTTTATATATTACAGAGTTGACAAGGACAATGTTACAGATAGTCTTACAAGACAGAGTTGATGGTGTGTGGGGCCAGAGCTGGAGTTCAGCGAGAGTAAAGCCTGGGTCCTTTCCTGGACCACAGAAACAACAGTGAAGAGTGACTGTAAGAGAGACGGGGTGAAGACAGAAGGAAGAAGTGGAAGTGAAGACCAGGAGAGTGAAGGAGGAGGAGGAGAGCCGAGAAAATGGAAGAATGAAGGGGGCAGGAGGGAGAGCTAAGGAAACAGGGACATAATGTGTGTGAGGTTCTCAGCATGCAATATGTACTTATATGAAAATTTAATTTAAAAGTATATATTTTATCAAAGAGAAAAGTGTATCTTCAGAGTACCAAAAAGAGAAGCGAGTTCATGTATAACTCACTGAATTTCCTTGGGTTGCATCTTTGTTTTTACTCAATAAGCATATATTTTAATGACTTTTTTTCAGAGAAAATTGAAGTACCTGTACTCAAAAAGAGGCGTGAGGTGCTGCCATTTGATATAACCACCCCAGAAGAAACAGCTGCTGCCAGTGCCACTGGGGAAGAAGTGTCTAGACTCCTACTTCAGAGGGAGGAGTCGTCCTGTCTTAATAACTTAAAAGATAACGCCGTGCAGTGGAAACAGCCAGCTTCTTCATGCGCGCAGCCAGCCGGCCCCTCTCCTCATAAGAGCCTGCATCTGGATACACAGCCGAAGAAGAAGTGTGTGAAGCTTGTGGATAGTCCAGCCAACACTGAGGCCTTACATGAACAAAGTAGGAACACCCCCAGTTCTCCCAGGTCAGTGTGTCTTTCTACCTGGCTGCCAGCAGCCTCTCCATCTTTCCTTTCTCACTGCCTGCCCTGTGCCATGTGGCTCTGTCTGTGTTCCCAGCACTGTGTGCACTGCAGCTCTGCAGTCTGGGTGACCTCCCTTTGGTTCTTTTCAGAGGGTCAGGTAGACTAAGGTGAAGGAGGAGAATGCTTCGAACAGCAAGTGATGCTAGGCAGTTACATTTCCCAGTCCACAGAGCAAAGACAGCCCAGCCCAGCATTCCTGAGTGTCTCGCTGGGTGGAATAAATGTACTGTTGTTTTTCTTTTGGTTCAAAAGTAGCCATGAAAGAAAAACCAACTTTCTCAAAGGGCTTTCCAGTAGTCTAAAACATTTAGACTTATGTTTTTTGGTAAGAATAGGTAAAAGTTTTTATGTTTTTTTTCATATTTATACTAAGCCTTCAGAAATGGACTTTGATGCCTGATTGACATTTTTAAATATCAAAGCTAATTTAGTTTCATTTTTATTTCAAAACTTCAAAGCTTCCAGCTTTCTATGTAATTGAGTTTGTGACTAGCAGAAGGTATTGGAGGGTATGTGAGGGAATCATCGTTCAAGGGCTCTGTCCCTTGGGTAAGTAAAACTCAGAGATAAAAAGGTAGAGTGACTGGAGCCCAAGCACCTGAAGGAAGGTCTGGACACACGGCAGGGTCAGAAGGACAGTAATAAGTGTGGACCTGGCCTAGGTGTCCAGCAGCACAGGCGTGCGTAGAGGATGTATAGTATGTATCCAGTGGAACCCTGGAAGCCACAGAGCTGGGTGGTTTGGAGAAAGATGGATACAAGTGGAGGTGCTCGTGCTGACTTGATTAAAACCAGTCTCAGACCAGCACTACATGTTTCTCTCATCTGTGACACCCAGATTTTGTATGTGCACATATGTGCATGTGACCTGAAAACAGAGGCAAAGTTAGAAGGGGGACGGGCATGGGAAGGATAGGATGAAACACAAGTGCCCACACACTTGTACAAAAATTATTAAAAAATGAATAAGGAAATGAAGGAGCCAGATAATTCCAAGGAGATGAATGACGTAGCATGCAGTGCAGTGGTAACTGCATTTAAAATAAACCTGTATACATTTAAAAGTTGAGTATACTAATGTGCATTTGATTTGTCATAAGATGAGCTCTCTGGGAACTGCTAGGGCTACATGAGTCTCAAAAGAGTGAGTGCAGAATCAGACATTTAACTGAGATAGCGAGACATAGCCTACCCATACCAAAGGGCCTCTTAGTGTGCTTCACGTGATTTTAAGTTTCCGGTACTACTAAACAAAGTACTCAGCAGGAAAACACATCAGCTACATAATACTACATTAGTAGTGGTGGATTTTAAAATAATGTCGAGATATATAAGGCACATGAAATTAAAACTCGATATTCTAGCACATATCCCCAGCCTCAGACAGTTCTGAGAGGAGTTCAGCAGGGACTGCTGTGACGTCTGTCTGATGGTATATCTCTACAGAATTTCTAGATGGCCACTGCACCTTGTTTATGCTCGTTTATCTCCCTGCCCTTTGTTTCTTGAGAAACAGTACACAGATTTATACCACTAATGGTCTCAAATTGCACACTGGAAAATTTTTGTCTGATTTAAAAAAAACCCAACAACAACAAAACAAGAAAATACCTTGAAACATTTGTTTTTAAATATGTAAGTCCACCTACTAACTTAAAACATTTCCAACCAAGCTGGAGTGATGGTTCAGAGGTTAAGAATGTTGGCTGCTCTTCCAGAGGTCCTGAATTCAATTTCCAGCAACCACATGGTGCCTCACAGCTATGTATAATATCTGGTGCCCTTTTCTGATGTGCAGGCATACATGCACATAGAACACTGTATACATAATAAATAAATAATTTTTTAAAAAAAATTCCAACCTTATGTCTTTTCTGCTTGTTTAAGTTAGACACATAATTCAAAGTTAACTTTGTCACAATAAAGATGGGCTTTGCTGAGAACTAGAATACTGCCTGCTTTAATCAAATAATGAATGCTCTCCCATGAAGAATGTTTAGACTCTTTCACTCATCTCCTGCACTGTTACTGCTCACTCACTGATGGAAACTCAGTTTGGAGGGTTTTTATTTGTTCATTTGTTTTTTTCTGCTTTCTTGTCTAAGACAGACATGTACTCGGGAAGCCTTGGGTTCTTTTTTTTTTTTAATCTTTGTGCTTAACTTTTTGAATGTAGTATCAACCTTAAAATATTGCTGTAGCATTTTGAATTTTGTATTCCATGTTCTTATGATAGTTATCTCCTTTTACTTAATACTTTAACTTAGGCATCCGTGACCTTTTATCAGACTTAAAGATACTTATTAAACATTTTCTAAAAGCTAAGCCTACTGATACAAAAAATCGTTTTAGAGCCAGCCACATAGTATCACAGTGAAGTCTACTAATAGCTTTTGTCCTGTGTGTATAAAATAGCACTCCCCCTTTTGGACGCCCACTCTACTAGGCATTTATTTCTTTTTCTTGACCATACTTGAATTCTGAATATATGTTTTAATGTTGATAGGTTAACTGCAGAATCAAGGCTTCCAACAGAAGTGAAGGAAAGGAAAGAAACTACAAGCAAATTGGAAAAAGGAGCTTGTAAGAAACCACACAACATCATGTATGTGTCCTCAAAGTCAACCCCAGAGACGCAGTGTCCACAGCAGTAGTGGCACTGCATGGTGCCTGTGCTGACTGTCGTTCTATGCCTGGGACGCCCGTGGAGAGCATCTGCATAAGCCAGTGCTGTGGCCGTGATTCTGACCCGGAAGTTCCTTCTCAGAACTGTGTCATAGGGAACAGATGATTATCAGAAGAGAATGTTAAATTTAAACCTCCTTTCTGCATTAGATATGAAGTTTGAACATTATGTGAATAAATATCTTAAGAACCAAAAATTAGAAAATAGGACACTTAAAATTATTAATTATAATTTTCTTTGTACATCTTTTTGGACTAAGATTTTCCTTTTCTTAAATATATATATAAAAAATATATATATTTTACTCTCTTATGTAACTTATAGTTACATGGTCACACATATAGTAAAAGATACTTGAGTCTAAATTAGCCAAGTAGGTTTTTTTTAATTTAAGTAATTATAGATTTGTCTATAACTTAATTTCATGAATACTTTCCTATAGGTAGTTGATTTGGGCCTCTTCAGAAAACTAGCAGGGTATATATAGATAGAGGAGAGTAGATGCATTTGAGCTCACAGCTCACAGGCTGTCAGTCTAAAGCCACAGTGGGGATTGGCAAGCTTGAGATAACAGCAGGGTCCCAGTTTTGGTCTCTGTGCTGTGATTGGCACCCCATTTTACTTAATATTTTTATTTAGGTCTTTATGGGCCTTAAAAAATACTTATACATTTAAAATTTTTAAGCCTTGTTAGAAATCACATCCATGCTTTCTTCATGTCCCCAAAATCAATCCCAGAGACCCAGTTGCCCACAAAGATTGCTCAACAGATTGGGAGGTCCACTCATATTAGAGAAGGCCACCTTCTTTGTCTTTTACACCAAAACAGTGAACAATGCTTGACCATATGTGCTTGGGCATAAAATTAAAGACAATTAAAGACAATTTCAAATAAGACCCTCCTCCATGATGGGACATCAACAAGCCCAATGCAGTGCATGTCTTGTGCATGTAACCACAGCTACTGTGAGTTTATGAGTGCATCAGCTATGGCTGTTCTCCAGCACACTTCCCCATCCTTCAGTGACTATGTTCTGTCTGTCCCCTCTCCAGAAAATATTCCCAGAGTCTTAGAACGGGTTATAAGAATGTCCTGTCTGGAGCTGAGCCTTCAATGGCTCTGACTGCGTTTTAGCCAGTTATGAGTCTTCTACATAAGCCACTGCCTGTTGCAAACAAGAAGCTTCTCTGAAGAAAACTGACAGTAGGGAGGCAGGCAAATAAAGATATGTATTTGGTGTGCAGTTGGACAGAAGTTTGCAAATGAGCAGTAATAGGGTCTATGACCTCCCCATCCATGAGTCTTAACCAGGTTTATAGGACTTGTCTTGAGCTCCCTCCATTTAAGTGGTCCATTTAAGGGCAGCTAGGAGAAGACTGGTTTCCAGGCAACAAGGAGGAGGGTCTTAAAGCCCATGCCCACAGTGACTCACCTACTCCAAGGCCACACCTCCAAATAGTGCCGCCCTCTGGGCCAAGCATATATAAACCATCACACTTGGTCAAGGTGTGATCCTGCCCTTGACCCATCTCTGTTTGGACTTCAGTCTCATTGTGGTCCAACAAATTGTTAAATCTCTGAAATCTCTTTCTGGTACACGAGTTTTCTCTGTGGCTGTTGCTTGTTTCTTCCACTCAGCATGAGATGAGTATCTCTTTAGAATATCTTTGTTTCTGCCGGGTTTATTTTAGCCCCTCCTCCCTGCATTCATATCATTATCCCTCCCTCCTTACTTCTCTATCTACCCCCAGTCTCCTTTCTAGCTTCCTAACCCTATACGTTTTCTAAATTAAACATACTGAGAAATCAAAGCCACAATCTCTACACATGGGAAAACATCCATTATTTGACTGGGTTTCCTTATTTGATGTAATATTGTCCAATTTCATCCATTTTCCTACAAACTCCACAATCTAGATTTTCTTTACAGCCGACTAAAATTCTACTGTTTATGATCTACAGTTTCCTTATCCGTCCATCTATTGATCCGTCCAACTAGGATGATTTCATTTCCTAGTGACTGTGACCAGAGCCATATGAACATGGTCGTGCAAGTATCTCTGTGGTGGGATATAGAGTCCTTTGAGTGAGTATCAAATAATGGTACTTGGTAATTCTCCTTTTAGCTTTTTGAGAAACCTATGTGCTGACTTCTGTAGTGGCTGCAGGGACTGGTGCACTCCTCCTAGCAGTGAACAGGAGTTCTCCTGTCCCTATGACCTCACTAGAATCTGCTGCCAATTGTCCTCTTGAGAATAGATACTCTGGAGTGCTGTGGAATCCAAAGTAGTTTTCATTTACATTTCCCTGGTATCTATGGATTTTTAAACACTTGCTAAAATATTTCTTGGCCATTTATATTTCTCATGAGTATTCTCTGTTGAGTTGCTTTGCCCGTTTTTTTTTTTTTTTTAATTGGGTTTTTTGTTTCCTTAGTGTTTAGTTTTGTTCTTTGTATCTTCTGCATACTAATTCTTTTCATATCCCCCACTGAAGGTATAGCTGGCAAAGATTTTCTTCCATTCCATAGGCTGTCTCTTCAGCTAATTAAGTTTCTTTTGCTGCATAGAAGTTTTAAGTTTCATGAGGTTCTTTTTTGCTAGTTTCTGGCTTTATTTCCTGAACAACAAGAATCCTGTTCAGAAAGGCCTTACCTTTAACTCTTCCTCAAGAGTTTCAGAGTTTAAGGTTTATGTTTAAATCTTCCTGATCTATATGGAGTTGATTTTTATGCAGTTAGAGATGAGGGACTAGTCTTTTTCTCCTACATGTTGATATCTGATTTTCCCAGCATCAGATGTTGAAGACGCCATCTTAATATTTATTTTTAAAGACAGCTTTGTCAAATATTAGGTATCTGTAGCTACACAGACTCACATTGAGTCTGATTCTAGTTGATTAATCTACATGTCTGTTTTTGTGTCTGGTACATGCTGTTTTTATTTCTAAGGCCCTGAAGGATGACTAGAAATTGAGTATGGTTTTATCTCCAGCAGATTTCTTATTGCTTGACTGTGTGTGCTTCAGCTGTCCAGTGTCTTGGGTGTTTCCATATGAATTTTAAGATTTTTTTTTCTGAATTTGATTTTTATTTCCTGAGTTAAGTTTCTCCCTTCATTCAGCTATGTGTTTTGCTTTTGGGATTTCCCTTATGAGTTTATTCTCATTACCTGTGAACTCCATGGGCATATATATATATATTTTTTTCTAAAGTTGCTAATAACCCTCATTAGGAGTTATTTTGGAATTGGTAATTTTTGGAGGTGTCTTAGTTTTTCACTTTTTTTTTATTTGTTTGTTTGGGGGCTTGTTCATCTTGGGGTTAGATTGTTACTTAAGCCTTTGTGCTCGCCCTCCCTCTCTCTCCCTCCCTCTCCCTCTTTCTTTGCTTGCTCTCTCTCTCTCTCTCTCTCTCTCTTTCTCTCTTTCCTTCTTTCACTCTCTCTCTCTTTCTTTCTCTCTTTCTCTATTTCCTTCCTCCCTCCCTCCCTCCCCCCCTCCCTCCCTCCCTTCCTTCCTTCCTTCCTTTCTGGTTGCCTTTCTTTTTTGAGTGGATGCATTTGCAGTGTTGAGGTGAGACTAGCTTGTACCACATTGAGATGATGGCTTCCTCTGTTAGATCGCTGCTCAGAGCACCAGGCCCCATCCCCAGTCTGGCCTTGAGAGGTGAGTACTATCTGCAACAATAGCCACTATCCACTAGGAAGCCTATTATAAAAATGGAGTGGCAGATGTTTTCAAAACAATCACTCCTTAAACACCCATTGTTTTAAGGAGTGATGGGGCCCTGCGTACTAATATATCACTTACTGTGGAAAGTAAAAACTGCAGAAAGCAATCACACTTGAACTAGTGGTAAGTGTTAAGTTGCCAGAGGGGGCACATAGATGGGAAACTGCAAGAGAAAAAAGTGGGTGATGGCGATAGAGACGTGGGAGTTTGGATTAAAGATGTGGGGACTGAAAACAGGGGGGTGGAGATCAGCATTTAGATAACTGAACAGTCTTAACCGTCAGCAGGCTGAGTGCAAAGACCAGTAAATGAGGCCACCCTTTATTTTGAGGGGGTAAAAGAAAAAAGGAAAGGATATGAAAAAAGGAAACACAGGGTGGTTGGGGGTCGGGGGAGACGTTACTAGGCACCAACAGTATGTGTGTGGTGGGGAGGGTACAGGCTGGCCTGTTGCACTGACCTGCATTATATAAGCAAGGGATATGTAGTTGGGAATGAGAGCTAAAAGGAGATGGGTGTACAGGAGCCAGTGGCCGGCTTAGATGTTTGGGTGTCATCACCCATTGGAGATCCTCTGTGTTGTCTCCCTCTGACAGACACTCCTGATTATCACCCATCAATTTATTCCCCTGGAGCTTCCCAGAGCCACGTCTGTATGAAATTCACTCTTGGTGAATTCCTGGCTCTGCACTGGGAGCTGAGATATATTCTTAACGCTGCTGCTGCTGCTGCTGCTGCTATCAGTGCACTTCTGGTTCGCCAAGCTAGACTAAAGGAATGGTGTCTAAGGCTTGTGAATAACAATCTGTGACCCAGGGACAATGTCATGCAGCTTGAGTTTAGTAAATTCTTTTTCCAAACAAAACATTACACATTTAAACAAATTAAATCATAAATGGACATTGAAGAACAGGACTGACAAGAGAACCTTACACTTCTAGCTTCTGGCTAGAAGAGGAAAGGTAGAGGAGAATGCCCAGTGAACTCTTGCCTCTTTATACACACACACACACACACACACACACACAAGATCATGTACCCCACCCTACACACACACAATTACAGCACACACACAAAAGACAAAGTAGTTGTTTTGGTCAAATATAGCCCTGATTTATTCAGTCTGTAGTGGGCCACTAGAAGAATCTACGACACAGATGGAAAATAAACTATGTTTTGTCTTCTAAGTGAAGTATGGATGGGAGGGAGCAAATGTATCTTTGTGTGTGCTACACGTCTTAAGTATGACATGACTTAACCTAATGGTGGACATTGAGCATCTTAGACTATCTAAACTCAAACTCACCTCCATAGGAAATATGAGACCTGGGCAACTTTCGCTGGGCATAGTGGTTAGCTATTGCTTTTAAAATATCTTACTGTTTGTATTTTTTGAGATTTTGTTTATTTTTATTTTAAGTATATGGGTATTTTACATCTGTGCAGTTCCAGTAGAGGCCAGA